TATGCTTCTGAGAGAAATGATATCTCTGCCTGATAACCAGGATAGTGACTGGCCCAGGGGTACAAATGTGACTCAAACAGAGTCAAAGTTTTCCCATGAAAAATAGCATTTAGGTTTCCTTTTCTATGGATTTATGTCTTAAGAATAGCTTCAGACTTGTGTTGTTTATGGTTATTTTTCTTTTCTTGTACAAAACCCAGGTTGAGAATGAATCCAATAAGTCAGAGATTAGAGGCAGGATGAGGACAAATAGGGATAGTTATAAAGAGAGGAACAGACAGAAAGGAAAACAGAGAAGGCAAGATGGAGACAAAAACAGAGTTAGAGAGAGAGTTAGACAAAAGGAAATTGTTCAACTCTTAGAGAGCCACATCTAAACCCAGATTTTTCAGTTAAGTGAAATAATCAATATAATTTCTGTCACTTGCTACTGGAAAAGACCTTATTGATAGATCAGCCAATAAGGAAGACTAACATCAGGCGATTCCTTGGCAAAAATACAAAAAAAGTCTTCTTTGAAGGCTTATTTAAAAGGTAAACTCAAAATATACTCATATATTAAGTTTGCTTGTTGTACATGAAGTGATTGAAGTTTATAAGTGCTACTTTTTACAGTGGATGTCTCAGGGCATGTAGTTATGTAGGTAGCCAATGAGAACTGGAGGCATTCTTATGTTGTACTTGTAAAGTGATTATTTTTTTTATGATGTTCAGGTATTATTGTTGTGATTTTAAAAAAAACTGTGATGATTAGAAAAAAGATTGTTGGAATAGATCAAATGCAAATTTGCAAACTGGTATGGGCCAACCAAGATCAATATGTGGAAAATCTGACCACAGGAGATGGCAAGGGCTCCTTTAAGGGGAAGAATCTGAGGATTTTATAAAAGGTAGAGAGAAAACACTGGTCAGAAAAATTTCATGTGCTTTACCTTGCTCTGACCTCAGAAGAGACTCTCAGCACTGAAGGCAGAAAGTTCTCAATTAATTGAGGAATGTGTTGCCTTAGAAGCACTTTCAGCTAAATGAGTATTGTGGGTATATTTACATTCGAGAAGGTTAACTTCTAGTAAAGGGAAAACTGAAGTTTAAATACATATTTAGAAATTAGCAAAAGTGAAATCTCCCAGCCCTAATCCAACTGACCACTCAATGTAGCTAGCACAATGCTCTACCCAACCCCTTATAACTAGCAATTAATGATTTGGCGAACATTCATTCATGCTCTTGATTTCTCTCTGTTTCTCTGTCTCTTTATGACTACCTCTCTCCTTCTCTCCTGAATGCCCAGATCTGCACATCTACACATATATTTATTTACTTATTTTACAAGATTAGAATTACACTAAACATTTAAGTCTGAAATTTGCTCTCTTTCACATAACACACCAGTGATATCTTTCAACATATTTATTTTCATGATTTTTAATGGCTTCATTATATTCTACTTTTAAAGACAGCATTCTATCATAGCTACTTGTCTTTCATTCACAAAACTTCAGATATAAAAACATCAAACACTCTATAAAGTTCTTAATGAAATTTTTGACATATCAACACATACTATTTGAAGCATTTATTTTAATTATGGTTGGAAATCATTTTTAATGAGGCAATACACTTTTATTAATAGGATTCAATTCTCAAAGCATCAGAAAGCACAATGGACTGAGAATTGTGGTTGCAGAAGTCTTTGTATAATATTACAAGAGCCATGCATTTTGCTTCAATCCAGAGGTTTGTCATCTGCATGGAATTGGAAATCAAAGTAAGCATTCTTGTTAAAGGGACATTACCCTGCATCAGTCATCCCAGAAAACTCAGGCAGCTCTAGAAAGGTGGACAGGACATCTTGCCAAGAATCACATGCAGGTCAAGGACATCACACCTCACTGAGACACTTGCTCTGTGCTTTGGCCCAGCCTCACCTAGCTCAGCTGTGAGAGCAGGAGGGACACAGCAAAAGCCGAAGGTAGAGGACAAATAAAACTACACTCTTCCACGGGCTCACATGTGACCTTACAATTTTCAGGAAGACCCTCCAGCCCAGAAAGTGTATCTCTCTTGGAACAGGGAACATTGGGAACAAGTGTCAAGCTTCCAAGTCTCCCAAAGAGAAACAAAACCATTTGACTCTATCATACTTACGGTATTGGAGCATTTGATGTCCACTATTTGAGAAAGAAATAGAATTTTTTGCAGCATTGCTCACAAAATAAATGTGCTGACCACTCCATTTGTACAATCATATTTGTCAAACATCTAAATATTTATATAATTACCAGTTAATTATCAATATTTCCATTAAAAATGAGAGTTCTATGATGGCCAGGATTATCTTTTTTCTTGTTCATAGCCCTCAGCTTTCTCCCCGCTGGGGGAGGAAAAATCATTTAAGAAGAAGTTATAGAATTGATTTTAATTATAATTGCACTGAATTTCTCATGAAGAATACTGGGTTTGATGGAGTCAGAGAGGATTTCTACAAGGAAGACAGGGCTGAGTTAAAATCTGAAAGACAGGAGAGGAGGAGCACAGGAGCTTTCCAGGCAGAGGGAGGAACCAAGGCCCTGAACGAAGATCACTGGAAAAAGAGAAAGAAGCACTGGAAAAAGAATCTAGAAGTGAGATTGGGAAAAAGAATGAAGTGAAACAGGGGATACAGACAGCAAAAACACAGTAAAAAGTCCTACAGACTAAGATGTTTGGTCTTGACCCTCAATGTAATGAACAGACATTGAGAGGTTTCCCGCAAAGAAAAACAGGCTTAGATTTGCAATTGTAAAAGATGACCATTTGATCTTGTGAACAGTATGTGGACTGAAGAGGGACAAAGTAATTTGTGCAGAAAAATTTGGAGGATATATCAATGATTTATGTAACTGACAATATTAGTTTGGACCAAGATGATAGTGACAGGGAGAAACAGATTAGCCTCTACTTTATGTCAAATCAGTAAGACTTGGCATTATTTAAATGTAAGAGACAAAGAAAGAACACATTAAGAATAACCAGCTGATTTCTGGATGATGCAGCTGCTGGAACAGCCATTCACTGAGGAGGTTTGGTATGAAAGATCGTGAGTTGTATTGGGTCTTTATGATCACAAGACATTGAAACTAACAATATCCACTAACATGTGCACTGTCCAAGATGGGCCACTGCTTGCCTTAAATGGATCATCTAACTGCAATCCTATAAAGTAATTACTTTCTCTCCCATCTTTTTAGACAAGAAAATTGAGACTTGGAGAGGCTTAACTTACTACCATTCTTAGAGCTTAAAATTGGCAGAGCTGAAATTTAAACTTAAATCTCTCCAAGTTTAACACAGATACTTTTAATGACCAGTCCATTCTGTTCTGTGACACCTCAGTCTATTCAGGGAAAATTTCATGGCTTCAAATAAAGGTGAATCTAAATAAGTAACTATGAGACCAAATATTCCTAGAAAACCTCCAGACTTTCTCAGGGTTTGGCAGATGATGGTTCCACACTTTCTCCCATTCTTTACTTCATACCTGGTTCATTTTCTTCCCCTTGCTTTTGCCCAAACCTCAGAGTGACCTCCAGCTTCCTATCTCCCCAGCCTTGTCTTCTGCAAGTTCCTATAATACTTTCAGACTCACCATTCATTTTAGCAATGGTCCTATGTAGGTTACCCTTCAAGATTTCAATGTAATTTCTACTTCCACGTATAATATGAACTATACTATCTTTAAAAAAGTCTTTCATATAAAAAGTCAGATTGTTGTAAACAAGCTAATAAATACAACTTTCAAATTATGCCATGTAGTAGATCCAGCTACTGGCTAATAGTTTGATTTTACCATTTTCTTTATCTGTAGCTATAGAGCAGTCTCATTTATCCATGTAACTTGCACATTTGACTATATGTTCTTGGCAGAGCAAGAGAGAAAGAGCAATTGAAACAAAGCAGACCATTACTCCCATCATTCCAACCCATGAGCACATGTCCCGAGAGACAGGAGATAAATCTGCTGTTCTCACAGCTGCTTTCAGTCCCCAAGGACCTCCTCCAGTATAAATAATTCTCTGGGAAGACTATAACTTTACTGTTTAAAGGTAAATATTTTAGATATAACACAGTCTTTAACTTCAATCAATGATGTTTCCCAGTCCGCAATGAAGGAAATAGTAATCTATGCCAAAACTAGAGAGAATTCAGGTTTGGGGGACTGCTCAAGAGACAGCACCTGATAATTCTGGCTGCCTGTAATTTGTGCTTTACCTTTCCTGGGGTAACTAAACCCTAAGATATAGCTATACAGCAGCTATGTTCCTGGAATCATCTCACTTTTAGTTTGTATTTTGGTTTTATTATTCAATAAAACTGAGGATGAATTGGGAAATGAAAAGTACTGAACAAGTGATAAATATACATCACCAACAAATAAGGCAGAGAAGGAAATCATTAGGCCTCCTGAAGTCCAATATGAGCAAACAGAACAAAATCATGCAACAGATAGGAAATGCTAGACCTGGGTCCAAAAAAGCAAGCAATTATTGGAGATTTTATTATCATCTTTAACTTTCTGGAAAAGAATCTCCATAATCAAACGTACTTACCTAGACAGTATTGCACAGACATATTTTAGGTAAAGGTTAGGCACCATTTTTCTGTACCAGTCCTGCTGCTCAAAAGGGCAAAGTTGATTCTTAGCAAGTAGCTTCCTTAGAATTTTGTTTATGCCATCAGTATAAAATTTAGAGCTCTATAGTAAACATGATTGCTAGTGCTTATCATTATCTAGACTGTAAGTTCCTTTCTAGTGCATTCTAGGTCTCACTAATCTCTAGACCTTGAAGAGTGTTTGGTTCAGAAAAGGCCCTCTGCAAAGGCTGGGGAGCAAGTGAATAGGTGAATTACCAAATTTGCATCTCTGATATTCATTTCTTACAATGAAAGGTACTGGGTAATATTCACCAGGTTATTACCCCCAGCACTGAGCTTCACTATGCACATTGTTCTGTCCTTACCGATCCAGAGAAATGCAGCACAGGTGAAAAATTGATGCTGTTGTAAGCAGGACGTCCAGAGATGTCCGGACAAGGCAAAACATCTCCCCATAAATCCAGATGTCTTGAACCAGCTCAATGGCCCCAAAGGGCATCACCAGCACTGAAACCAGCAGATCAGCAAAGGCAAGAGATACAATGAAATAATTGGTTTTTATTTTCCTGTAAGTGAAAATATATAAGGGAGAACGTAGGAGGGGGCAGAAAAGGAGAAGGGAGGGAGAAAAGAACAAGAGAAGAAATGGGAAAAGAAAGGCAAAGAAATAGGGAAAGAAGAGAGAGGAAAAGGGAAGAAAAGTGATACATTTAGCATATTCTGTGAGATTCATTTTCCCCTTCTGTAGCAAGGCTGAGCAGACATTCAGTGGTTGGGCCAGTTCTAGTTTCTCCCCTTTGTACGAAAAACCATTTCTTCCTTCTTTCTAGGGCACTCTGGCCTGATCTAACTGTCTCTGTGCAGCTAGCTCCCTCCTGAGGGTCTTTAACACAAATGCTCTCCCTATCCTAGCCTAGTCACTCCCCACCCTTGTTCAGTCCTTGGCTGGTCACTCTCAGGGACCCCTCTTAGAATGCATCCTTCACAGACAGCAGTCACATCCCAACATTTTACACCCACAGACTGGCTACTGTGTGCCTCACAGGTGTGACACTGGTCAGGATTGTCCTTTTCTGCTTTACTGCATCACCATTAGATCAATCGGTGCTTGTCTTGCCGAGAGAGAACTTGCAGTGTGTACCCTCTTTTATGGCTCAGTGGCTGTCAATCCCGACAGATATTAGAATCACCTGGTTTACTTAGTAAATATTAATGCCCTAGATTTCACCTCAGATCAGCTAGTTCAGAAGCCTTGGGTTGTTAGCATCCCCTTGAAAACAGCCACATCTCAAACACAGGATGTGGGTTGGGAATGTAACTCAGTGGGAAAGTGTTTGCCAGCACAAGTGAGACCCTGGGTTCAATTTCCAACAATGTGGCCCCCCCCCAAAAAAGCACAGGTTGCTCAGTTAAATTTTGATTTAACAATGAATAACTTATAACATAAGGATGTCCACAACATTGTCTGGCACATACTGATGCCAAACAGTAATACTTTTTAAAAGCACTAGAGATGATTTTAATTGTGGCCAGGATTGAGAGTGATGAAAATAAAGAGCAGATGACTCAGGTTTAATTCTAAGTCAGTCCTCCTTTTCCTGAACCTGTGATAAAATGTGGAGGTTATAGATTAGATATGCTCTCAAAAACTGCATATATAATATTCACAGCTTTAAACATACCAAACAGAATTTAGGAATAAAGACAAGATGGAAATACACAGAAAAGCTTATATTGGTTATGTTAGAGTTATGTGATCACTTCATCCTGCCTCTATTTTTCCAAATCAATTCCCCTGTATATTTCCCTCCAAATTACAAATTACAGGGGTAATTTTCATGCCTGACTCTCCAGGTAGGGCCCAGAACTCCACCCCTACTTCCTAAGGGGTTCCCCTGTATAGCTCACCTGAGCTGCCTATCCCTGCACACAGCCACCATCACCAGCAGGTTGCCCAGGATGGCCATCAGGATGACCGCCGAGAGAAACGTGAGCAGCACGACCTTCTCCACTGACCCAAAGCCCTCCTTGGAACTGGAAGATACAGGCACACAAAACCACAGAGAATTTAAGAAGACTCCAGAGCATGGGAAAGAGAATTCATCTTATCTTTTTTGATGGTGAGGAAGGTAACTTCATCATCAACAACTGCAACACACGTATATCTCAGACCTAATATATTTCACAGTCTGTACCTCTCACTTGACAAGCTATTCTACTTAACTCCTATATCATGAGAACATGAGGCTCAGAGGGGCTTACTCACTAGCCAAAGTTACTCTCCATCAGAAAATGTACTCAGCAATGTGTTTGGCTGATTCCTGTTTTGAGCGCCAGCCCAACTAGACTGTGCTTCATGAGGCAAGGATCTCAGCTCTTTGGACTGCTGTATATTCAATGTGTCAGTCTCATTTATCAGATGAAAGAAAGATGATATTGGATGAATAAATGACAGTACTATCACCAGGGTCTTTATGAATACACGAGCTCGCTTGCATCCCACTGTAGTCTGTGTAGAAGCTGCTGTTTACAGGGAGCTGCCCCAGGGAGAGAAGATGATGTCTGAATCTTGCTCTTGGATCTCTCCTATCTGTTCACCTAGACAAACTGATCCCAGATTCTGTGATGCCCACAGATGAGATGGCAGCCAATCAATAAGCTCAGAGACCTTTTCTGCTTCCTTGAGCCACACCACTTTTGGTGCCCAATACATGTCAATGTTTTCAGTTTAAATTTATACTCTTGCCCATTTCACCATCCTGCTTGATTCTACAGATGCTTCTTTCCTCAGAATTTTGTTTTATTAACTTGAAGTAAGTGAAAGCATAGTATCTCCAGCCTATTCAGAAGCTACAGGAAAAGTTTTATCTTTTATAGAGCTACAAAATGTTCTTTTTAATGAAGTTTTAAAGGATCTTAAAGCCCCTGGACTCAAGCCCTACTTGTCAATGGGGTAACTGAGTTGTCAGGACATGTTACGGGCTGGTCTAGAAAAGGCTGCTTGTCCTGTGAGTTTACCACTGGATCCCAGGGTGTCAAGATTCAAAAATTGCCTGCTTTTACTGAGCTCCTTTGAAAAATCAAGGTGGGCACCGAGCCACAATGGCACAAGCCTGCCAGGCCCAGGCTTTGGCCCTGTGCAAAATTCCTCCCATTAGGTAGGCACAGAAGACCATTCTCAAGTGGAATACAGAATCAGTCTTGCTGCAGTTGTAGAATGAAAAAGTCCCTCCACTCTGCTGACAAATGTTTCTATAGATTTACTGATTGAGACTTTCAGAGCTGGGGTTCACATAGAAAAAGATATGTCCATCGAAATCACCCCTCCACACTTAAACTCCAACTATCAATAGTGCAAATGTTGGACAGAGAAGACTTTATTCCATGTGGAAAAGGCTTCAGCAGGGTGGTACATCCACCAAAACATTGACCCCATTTAAGGCCATGTTAACAGGGTGAAGTGTCTATCAAAGGAGGTGACAGAATCCCTTCTCTTTCTACTTCTTAAAGGCTCCTACTCAGAGCTTTCTGAAATGTGTTCACTCCTCAGGGCTCTGTATTTGATGTATTTTTTCCTGTAATGGTTCTCGATGGCTGTCTATTTCTTGTCATTTGGGTCTCAGATTAAATTCAACCCTCATTTATTGTCCACAGACAACAAACATTTTTCATTTTCTTTCTAGCATGTATTGTTATCTCAAATGATTTCTGTTATTGATTATGTCTGTATATCACCCCACAGTCTCATTCTGGTTCTTTTTTCCCCACAGTTCCAAATGCCCAACACAATGTCTAGTCTTTATTATGTGTAATCTGTAGGCATATGTAATTTTAGTAAGGACTCAATTATTTGCTAGTTGGGCAAATGACATATTATGTTCACTATGATGAGGTTTATTCTTCAATGTCTTTGAAGGTTAATTGAAAGTATAGAGGAGATTTTACCTATAGAAATAAAGTCCCGAGGCTAAAACTAAAGCTGTTTTTGACTATCTAAAAGGGACATCATTTGAACTAAGAGTAGATTTACATATTCATTCATTCAACAATATTTTCTCAGTACTTTACCTTTCTATGTTAGGCATTATATGTCCTAAGGAAGCAGCAATAAGCAAAACAGAGAACATACAATAAACAGACACACAAGAAAATATGCAGTGTCAGCTGATAAGTACATTTTATGGAAAAAGAATGTCGAAAAGTAAACAGGCTGGGACTGTAGTGGGGGACAGAGGGTGAACACTGCATGATGGTTGTCAGAGAAGGTTAGTAGCACAGTTGTCATACCCTAAGGTGCATAGGTTCTGTGATAAGCAGGACCAATGAGTAGGCATTGAACAGTGGGTTCCAACTCCAGATACATATTGAAATTTCTCCAAGAGTTTTAAAAAGGGCTGACAATGGGCTGCAACCTCAGAGATACTGACTTACTGTAATTGGTCTTGTTTGCAGCCTGAATATCAGAAGTTTTTAAAACTCTCAAGTGACTCTGGTGTGCAACCAAGGTTGAAAATCACTGGTAGAGGGAGGCAAGATTTAGTACTCGATAATAAGAACCTTCAAACAACTAAAGACGATCGATCTATAATAGTTTCCTGGTTTTGTGCTAAGCTCCCTGGTACAGAAAATGTTTAAGAATATCTGAATCCAATGAGATATTGCTTTATACTCATTAGGATGTTTATAATAAAAATCAAACTTAAAACAAGGCAAAAAATAGCAAGCATTGGCAAGAACGTTGGAGAAGCTGGAATCAGTATACATTGCTAGTGGGAATAGAAAAAGGTGCAACTCCGGTGAAAACAATGGTGAGGCCCTGGGTTTGATTCCCAGCAACCCTCCACCACCACCACTACCAAAAGAAAGATAGAAATAGAATGACCATATGATTCAGTAATTCAATCCTAGATATATAGCCAAAAGCAAAATAACAAAAAACAGAGAGCAGGGATACAGATACCTGTATAACAATGTTTGCCCCAGCATGATTCATAAGAGTTCAAAGGTGGAAACCCAAGCTTCCATTAACAGATAAGTAAGTAGGTAGAATGCGGTATGTGTGTGTATATATATATATATATATATATATATATATATATATACTGTTAATTATTACCTTGCTATAAAAAGTAATGAAGGTTTGATGCATGTTGCAACAAGTATGTACCCTGAAAATATTATGCTACATGAAATAAGCCAGACACAAAAGAACAAGTATTATACAATTATATGACTTATTTGAGAATCCAAGAATAGGCCAATTCATAGGGAAATAAAATAATATAATAGCTCTCAGGGCCTGGGAAGAAAGGAGAATAAGGAATTATTATTTAATAGGTGTAGGGTTTCTGTTTTGGATTATGGGAAAATTCTTTAAATGGGTAGTGGTAATAATAGTTTCACACAACTGTACCTATACTTAACATCACTACAATGTACACTTAAACCATTTATTCTTTATATTAGTGGTAAACTTTATGTTATTAATATTTTATCACAGTAAAAAGAATATAGTGACAATCATTTATGAGGCTACTATACAGGGCTCTCCTATTAGGGGTAGGTAATTTCAGGTCCTTTTCTTGCCTGTGGTCAATGATTCAAACATTTCTTTAGAACACGAGCTCTCCATCAAGCACATTCTCACCACTAGAACCATCTCCGCTGTACTGTCTTTGCTCCTCTAGGAGGAGAAAACAGATTGAGCCTGTCTGTGATGAACATCTCTGGCTCAGAGAATGTACATTTCAAATCAAGTGGGATGTTGGGGTCAGAAAGCCCCAGGTTCAATGTTACGGGTCATTTGTGGTATGCCAATTAGGAGCAAGAAATAACTAAACTTTAAACTGTGAGTGACAAGCAAAATGTAACCATTGAAAGAGCATTTTTAATTGGCACAACTGTCCGTTGAACTAAATTTAAATCCAGTAACAATTAAACTAAGTTGGGGACCACTTCTGTAAAATCCACTCAAAATGCTTGGGTTCCTGACACCCTCCAGAAATGCTGTCAACTACTATCAGATGATTTTTATCTGGCCATGAGCTGTCCACTAAATTAAATTCTTTGAAAGATCTCCTTATAAGAAATTTTACTCTTGATTCTTCTTTCTTTTCTTTTTTGTGATCCTTTGAGCCATAATAAATTCCACTAACTTGCTGGCTGTTTGTCATTTTTGTTCTGTTCTTAATGAGAAAAAGCATAAAGACACTAATTCTGGGTAAATTTCCACCTGATCAGTCTGTATGTAAAACTGGATTGTGAAAACAAAGTATGACATGAATAAGTAATTGAGAATATCAGAAGCCCCCTACCCACCCACACAGGTGTGTGTGCACACACATGCACATTTTCTTGAGTCAAAAATACGTCCTGTTTGTTTTTGTACTGGCTTTGTTAACAAGCTGTATAACCTCAAATAAGTCACTTCTCTGTCCTTTGAAAGAAGTCACCCTTACCTGTTTAATTTTGTCCAGTGCAATTTTTGCTATAACAGTATGAGTTTTACAGCTAATTATGTCATATACATACTTTCTTTGTTATCTTTATAACCTGCCATGACTGATATCCCTGATTGCTGATAAGCATTTGTAATATGTCTCATGTTACTCTTTTTTCTTTTTTTTCCCTTTTCTCCTCCCCCCTTCCTCCTCCTCTTCATACTTCTTTTTACTTGTAGTGCTGTGGATCAAACCCTGAGCCTTGCACATGCTAGTTAACTGCTCTACTGTTCAGCTACAGTCCCAGTCCTCATGCTCATGTACATTGATTTTTAAATTTTAATGTAGTGTAAGCAGATGCTGATATAGAAAATATATAAAAACATTCTCCTTACTTCTATGAAAAAATAAAACAAAATTTCATAACAAAATAATTGGAGAATAACAATTGTTAATATATAGTATATCATGATCTTAAACAGAAAGATGGAACTCAATTATTCATAGAGAATTGTTTCATAATAAGCATAGTAACAGTATTGTTTCAGCATTACTATAAAGCATTAGAATCACCTGGAGGACTTGGTTAAAACA